TGGCACCTTCATTTGGGCCTTAGAATTCCTCCAACACAGTTATTCAAAGACAAGCAACAGCATAGCGTCAAAAGTAATTAAAGAGGGAAGTAAGGTGCCGGGAGAAAGAACCAGCAGAAACAAAGGCAATGGCAATGAAGAGACTTGCAAAGACTTCGGATGCTGAAATTAGCAGACACAAAGTAAAAAGGAACCTGACACAGCCCCCCCCCAAATCACTTTGGGCCTGGTAAATAAGCCCCCACTCCCACACCAGCGTTCCTTCTTTAAAAATTGCTTTCTAGAGGAATCTGCACTTTCAAAAAAAGCAGTAAAATAGCCTGATGGTTAAAAACAGAAGACAAGCTTGAAAATATCTTCTGTGAAGGGGATCACACTATAAAATGTGGTCTAGCATCTTGAATAGAATAAAAGATCCACTTTAGTTTTGATATTTGGTGTTTTCATTACCATGCGGCTTTCTGCAGGTGTCAAAGCCGCATTCTGTGTACAGTTCCGTAAGGCTGAGTACGTTAGCCGTGCTGTTCAATTCTTTTACATCATACTGTCCAGTGATTCAAGTGAAAAAGCAAAGACAGATAAGAAAAAGGGCTGAAACCATATCGAGTCAAAGACACACGGACACCCTTAAACAGGCCACAGCACTGACTCAGCTCCACCCAGAGTCGCTCGTAGACGAGGTTGGTTGTCAGGGAATTCCATCGTGGACGAGAGGAACAGGGACAAAGGACTGAAATACATCCTGAAAAACTGGGTCTAAAAGGTGAGGTGTAGGGCAGGACTCTTTGAATCGTCATTCAATGGAGACTTTTAAAATCTTGATTGACATTCTTCCCAGCATTAAAATTAAGTTCTAATTATCCTCTTAAATAGAGTGAAAGAAGATAAGATTTTGAGATAAGAAATTACTTTAGAAAAATATAAATTTTATTTTCTATATTTTAGGGTCAATCCATATTTTAGAAGTCATATTATTATCAAGCTCTAATAATTTAAAGTAGTGGCTCACAGATCATAGATAGACCGATGGGACAGAGTAGCCCAGAGAGAGACCAAAAGATGAGTAAAAGGTTCGAAGATACAGAGGGCATCTTCAATCAGCAGGGGAGAAGATGAGTTAGTGAATAAATGGTGTTATGACACCTGGATAGTCATCTGGAAAAAAATTAAATAGGTCCTATAATCTCACATCTTACACCAAAATGATTCCAAGGGATCAAAGATGTTAAAGTAAAAATAAAACCGGGGGAGTGGGGCGGCTCTCGGGCCGAGTGGTTAAGTTCGTGCTCTCTGCTTTGGGGCCCAGGGTTTTGCCGGTTCAAATCCTGGGCGCAGACATGGCACCGCTCATCATGGGAGGCTGAGGCAGCGTCCCACATGCCACAACTGGAAGGACCCACAACTAAAACATACAACTATGTACTGGGGGGATTTGGGGAGAAAAAGCAGAAAAAAAAAGGCAGAAAATTAGCAACAGTTGTTAGCTCAGGTGCCAATCTTTAAAAATTAAAAAAAATAAAACCGGAAGAGTGGACAATTTAAAAAGTAACCTTGGTGTGGGTAGGTAGTTTTTAACTGTGATTTAAAACTCAGAAGCCATGAAAGAAAAGATTAATCAATTTTGTATAAATATCAAAAGCTTTTGTAACAAACAAAAACCCCATTCTGATCAAAGACCAAACAACAACAACAAAAACTAACTAATAAAGTACATTTGCAACTTATAACAAAGGATAACAAGACTGATTGCCTTGTTATGGGAAAAGAACCTATAAACTGATTTCTAAAAACCAACAAGCCTATACTTACAGATACAGTGGCTCTTGGTCATACGACAGATGCCCAGTCTGACTCCCGAACAACAGTGCTCTCAGCTGCGAGAGTGGGCCTGGGAGCTGGCGAGCAGCACGGCGCCCGGAGTTAACAGCAGTGTATTGGACACTTGACGTTGCTATCAGAGCAGAGCTTTAATGTTCTTACCATAACCACAACAGCAAAATGGTGATTATGTGAGGTGAAGGATGTGTTAACTAATCCTGCTGGGGGAAACATTTCGCACTATCTACGTGTACCAAATCATCACATTACACACCTTGAACTTACAGGATGTTATATGTCAATTATATTTCAATAAAATGGGGTGGGGGGGAACCACTCGGAGACACCCTTTTGTCAGACTGGCAAAGATCACAGAGTCAGCTGAGGTTCCGTGCTGGCACGGCACACGTGAGGCAGTGCACACCGGCTCATCTTCTGCGGAGGGCAAGATGGTGCTGTTTTTCTAAATTAAAAACTGCACACACCGTTTGAATGCAGCAACCCGCTTCAGTGAGTTTTTCCCTACAGACATACTTGCCAAAGTATGAAATGGCATAGATCCAAGGACATTAATTGCAGCATTTTTGCAATAAGGAAACCACCTCACTGCGCCTCAATTTGGGACCACTGATTGAAATGTATTGGGGTGATCCATGCAACAGGATACTCTGCAACCATTACCAGAATGAGGCAGCTCCATATGCACTGCAATAAAGAGATCTTTGAGGTACGTTGTTAAATAAAAGTAGCAAAATGCAGAATACCACATCTAGCATGCTACCGTCTGTGTTTACAAAAGGGGTGTCGTTATGTACAGACTGTCTCTGGAAGGACACACAGTCAGGTAACGGTCGTCGCTCAGGGAGGAAACCAGACCACAGCGGGGATGGGAGGGAGGCAGTGACTTTTCACTGTACATGCTTTTGAGTTTGTACCGTGTGCTATCAAAAAGAAAAAACTTTAAATCATTTAAAATAGTTACGTATCTACTGAATAATGCTCAGACGATAATGCAACCACAACGCTCCCCACCTCCTTCGCGACAGTTCGACATGCAGTAACGGAATGAGTAGGGACTTTCCCTTATCATGCGGCCCTGGGAACAGAATTGCCCTTTATGACCCATAAGCCGATTGAAGGCATTTTCTTTAAAGAGAGGTGTGTGTTATATCCTCTACAGGCCTCAGCAAATATTTGTTGGAAATGGTGAGGTTCACGTTTATTAATTTAACACACAGTTGTTGACCCTACTGTGTGCTCAGCTTGAGCTGGGTTCTGGGCACAGAGGGCTACGCTGGGCCAAGTCCTTGACTTTGAGCTCACAGCCTAGTTGGGGAACTAGACAAAGAAACAATTACAAACCAGCCTCCGGTGCCAGGAGCTCTCCATTGCCGTGGGATAGGCGGGGCGAGGAGGCTGGAGAGGCTAGACAGATCTGGTTGTGAAGGGTCTTGACGGCCTTGCTTTCCACCCTCGGCCAAGGGGAGCCACTGAAAGGCTTGAGCAGGTGAGAGCCATGGCTGGGTCCGTGGGGTGGACAAGTCGATGGTGGCTGGAGTGGGAGATGGACTGGAGGGGACCAGAAAGACTGGTGAGGAGCCTGGGGCCATTCACCAGGGGGAACCTGGCTTGTCCCGCAGGGAGAAGTTTATAACTCCTTTATTTTTCTTATCACAATGACTAGGAATTATAAAATCTTAGGTAATATATGTGTCAGAGAGCAACCTTGTATCTCAGTTGAGGAATATTAGTGAACAAATTAGTAATTGAACTTTAGGTGATGAACAGTTTTTTTCCAACTTTGAAATTTCTTATTCACCTCAAGGGAAATTAATTGGGAAAGGACAAATTAATTAGAAATTTTTCCATCTTTCATGTTCTGGTAAAATTTATATATCAATAGAAACTATCTGTAGCTTGGAAGTTTGAAACGCAGTCTAAAACGTGGTAGTAGCTTCCCCCGCACGTAGGCAGTGCCCAGAGCTCGCTGAGGGCTGCCCCGCTTCCTGCCAAACCTCGTCCTGCTCACCTAGGTCCCGACATGCTGGGCTCCACTCACACCTCTTTAAACCAGCCCAAGCCAGTTGTGCCTCTGAGCTTTCCCACGAGCTGTTTACTCTGTCTAGAACGCCCAAACCTTTCTCACTCACCCATCCTGTGTGTCTCTTGTCACCAGTTAATTCCTCACTGAGGCCTTCCCTAACCACACCAAAGCTGGCCCGACACTCTTTCGTAGCATCCCATTCTATTGACTCATTGCATACACTACAATTATTTGCTAATTCTTCGTTTCCTTTCATACTACCTGTCTTCCCCATTTAAGGTTCATGGAAGTAGTAACTATACGCGTCTATAACCACATATACTATGCTTGGCAGAAATTTTTAAATTAATGACTATGGCCCCTTTATGTTCCTCTGGCCACTGGCCTCAGCTTTCCTCTTTTGGGTCACCTCCACAAGGGGCATTCCCTAGCGTCTCTCTCACTGGGCCTGGGTCCAGCACCTGCATGGCTATCACAGGCTGTACCAGGGGATGCCCAGGGCTCAGATACCTATCTGTGAACTCACGGCTCCTGCACCCTCAGGTTGGAAGAGCACCTGAACTCTTCCCACCTGGTCAGCCCAAGGCTGAAGAAAGGTCTTCTTGCAGAAGTGCATGTGGAAAACCGTGCCTGGAGCACGGCCGCAAGACTGGGAACTTGCTGCACAACCTCCCACCCACCAATAGCCATGCCAGCCCCACCCCCGTGTCTGGAGCCAGGTGGCTCTCTAGGGTGGCCTGGAATGTGTCATAGAAGAGACGGCTGAACACAGTAGGTGAGCACGTGGGCTCTGGAGCTACCCCGCCTGGGTCAAGTCCTTGATTCACCATTTACCAGCTTTGCGACTTCTGAAGTTTCCAAACCTCTTTCTTCCACCTTCAAGTGCAGAGTGCTTACAACAGTACGTGGCACGAGGTGCGCCCTCGAACGTTAGCTGTTATTCCCAGTGACAGGCATATAGATCTTTCCATCCCACAGCCTGAACACTACGGTTTCTGGGGCCAGGCAGGTCTGGTTGGTCATTGTGGGGATCCAGTACAAGACTGGCCATAAAAAGATAAAAAACGCTTGGAAGCACGACTCTGGCCATGTCTCAGTGACATCTAATTGGATAAGCAGCCAACACAAATGCAACTTGTACATCTTGGAACACCAGGAACTTTCCTCATTTATTTTCAGAAAAACACAGTGATAATAATTCTTATGGCAACGATTTTTTAAGGACAGTGATGTGTGGTGTGTAGGGTAACACACAGAACAAGGAGGGATATGTCCGGGTGACCAAATCCTGGCACTTGTGGACAATGAGTGGTAGCACAACTGAGAAGTGCTTCAGTGATGGCAAACAATCAAGCCTTCTATTTTTTCTCCTTCATAAACAGGTATAAAAATATTAAAAGTAAAAATACTACCAAAAACATATTCAGCAGGAGTGGAGGTGGGCTGCGAAGCTGGGAACCCTCCTTCTGCAGGATGAAGCAGGGCGGGTGTGTCTTGTCTCCATGTCGTCCTGCTGGCTGGTCCAGCAGCAAACGGGAGGGCAGTGTGAGGAGCAGGGGCAACAGGAATGAATCGAGAGGAATCAGACGCCTGTTCTTGGACTCAATCCATGCTTAGGGGAAGGGTTTTCCCAACCAAAGGCATGCATGCAGTTCAGGGGTCTTCTGACCCAAGCCTCTGCTGCTCACGCACAGTGAGCTGGAAGCCTGAGTCTGCGGCGGCCAAGGTGCCGTGGCAGAGCAGTGCTGGAGATGGAGGAGGGCACCACCTCACGGAGATGCCGCTGTCAAGGCTGGGCAGACCCAGGTGGATGGGGAGAAGCTAGGTGTAGAACCAATCAGCTGGAGATGAGGAAGACCTGACGAGAGAGAGGGATTCGAGGAAACTGAAAGGGGAAACTTGGAGCAATTTTTTTTCCCTCGAGAGCAGGCAGTTTCAGCAGCTGTTCATGGGAGCCCACAGGCATTGAAGACTATAAGTCTAGATGCTAACCCTCTACTGAAACCCCTTCCCCTGGGCAGAGCAGGGTTGGCACCTCCAATGGGTTTGCTCCCTGGACAATTCCAAAGTACGCCAGGAGAGCTCTGATGTGGGAGGGGGGTCCTAGGTCTGCTTCTCTGGCTCATAGCTTTTTCTATAGTCCAGGTGAGGGGGCTGGGGAGACTGGCTCGCATGTAAGTTCAGCAGTCCCTCTGCCACATGCAGATTCGTCATCTTGAGATAGCATAGTTGTGGGTATACCAGGAAGTCTGTGCACCACGTGGGGCAGGAAGTAGTGGGGGATCATCTGGATGTGCTGAGGGCAGCACGTTACCAGCTTGCAAACTCTGTAACCCTGAAGCGTCCCAAAGAGTGGTCCTGACCGTCTGTCACAGTCAGCCTCTATGTGGTCAATCAGTAAGACTAGAAAAGTGAGGTATGCAATGAACTCCTCTTCCTAGGACTCTCTGGATGTCTTGGGATTAACCTGGCTGAGGGTGGGGTAAAGTCCCTCCCAATAATTGCCAACATCTTGTCTAACACCATGCAGATCAGTTGGCAGAAGAGAAGGTAGCTGAGGATCTTTAATTCAGGGTTCTCAAAAATGCACTTTTAGGGGTCAGCCAAAGGTGATGCTGGGGGAGGTCCGACTGCCCAGAGAGCCATACTACTTCAGATTAGAAAAGTACAGAATAGCACCCAGGAAAATGCTGATGCCTATGGTTGAGAAAGTCACGCAGTGAGGTGCTGATCATATGGCAGAATGTCACCGAGCCAGAGCTAATGGCCTGGTCCAGCAGCAGTCCCATGAGTGTATCCAGGCTGGCCCAGCTCATCCCTCCAGACAGGGACGAGTGAACAGGCACCTCAGAGTCGAATTCCCTGAAGACCCAAGCCTGCTAGGAGGTGGGCTCAGGGAGCATGGACTGATCCCAGATGGAGGGCTTCAGACTGCACTGGTTCGGGTGGAGGAACAGCTCCTGGGGCTGTCACTGCGATGAATGGAGCCCTTAAAGCGGCAGCAGGTCTTGGCTCAACTGCAGGCACAGACCAAGTGGCGACAGCTCTTGTTAATAACAAACAAAATGAACAACAAATTGGCAATGTATTTCTCAGGGATTCAAGGTGAGAGAGTGACAGTCAGGACCAGGCAGGCCACACGGATAGCACTGAAGGCAGGTGTCTGCAGCAGGGACTGACTCCAACATGATGGACAACAGCCTCTTCTGAGCCTTGGAGCTGAGGTGCAGCATGTGTAGGGGCCAGCAGATTGCCCAACCTGATGGACAGCTGTTCCACAGGCCAGCACCCTGCCACTTTGCTTCCTGGAATGACAGTTTACTTGCTCTTCCATCTTCATTACATGATGTGTTCCAGCCTGCAGTGGTGTGGGCTCCCCATTCTCTGTGGAGCGGAAGGGGAGAATGCCACCAGAGGCTGAGTGTGTGAAGGCACAGAGATGTTATTTTATCTGTGATTTCCACTGAAAGCACTGAAGGTTTAAAGATGGAGACTGGACCTGTAGGACTAGAGTCTCAATCAAACTTCTGAGCATGGACACTGCCCCTGCCAGAGAATGTCACAGTGTAGCTGACCACTTCTTGACCTGTAGAATCATTCAACATGTCGCCCACCACTGTAAGGATGGGAGAGTCTTTAAGGAGTGCCATACCCGGCCGGAGAAGGAATGGCTACTTTCAAATCCAAAAGCAGAAATTCAAAGCTCTCTGCCTTTCCTGTGAACAGAGTAAATACCTTCAGAAAACTGGACAAAAGTAGGGCAAGAACTAGGATGCAGCAGGTCAATATCCCAGTAGTAACAAATACACTCTAATGCAGGGGACACAGAGGACAGCCCAGCTGAGGGGAAGAGAGTGGGTCAGAGCCTTCTGGGAGCTGGCCTTGGGGTTCCAACCTTTCATGCAGTTGCACATCAAGAAATGCCAAGTCCCAGAAGTGGAGGTGGCCTGGGACACCACTAGGTGGCTGGGATCGCCACACCTGAAGCTGCGCATGCCCTGACTGCTGTGTGTAGACTGCAGTGCAGAATTGGAGGGTATCCACACAGACTAAGGCCCTGCTTTAGGTATCGTCCCAGGGTTAGAGTCGAACTGAGGCCCAGAGGAAGTGGGTAACTCAAGATTTTGATTAACCTCTGCCTCCCAGACAGAGGTCCCAAGTTCTGAAAGCTGGGTTTGACTGCAACACCCAGTATCATGGACTGTGTATGAGATCAGATCACCACATTCCCCAAGGGCAAACGGGATGGTAATAAGTGACACAATGTTACCACTTAGGAGTTGCTAAAGCAAAAGAGGGACATGCCATTCAAATGAAGTGTCTCAGAAGGAGAATACAGGTAAGCAGCAGTGGACACATAGCCCAGGGAGACCTGGCCCCACATGGCTTGAAGCAGAAGGCGGGGAGCATAATTCAAGTAAGTCCTGGGCTGACCAGGGTGGCTGCGCGTCTTTACACTGGGCATCGGGAGTGTGGGTGTGGAGAACAGAGGGTTCCATTGAGGTGGGAATCCTCTTATATAAGAGAAGCAAGTAGAGTAAAATGCTTGTAGGCCATTTTCTTACTTTTGTGTTCCTTTGCTTCTCAACCTTAATTTTTACAATTTTATAATTTGTCTTAACAGTCAAAACATAAATTTGATAAACCAATTTCTAGGTTGTCAATGAAGATCCATTTTGGTTCTGACACTTGGTAATTCAGACTATTAAACAGCACTGGTGTTCAATTGAGGCAGCACTGAACCACGAGGAGGGTTTGCCATTCCTAAACTCTCAAAACCCACAATATCGTGAAGCTTGACTCTCAGTAAATAAAATGACTGTCTCACTGTAGTGTTCCTGGTTATTCTCTAGAATGACTCGCTTACATTTAATAACTCATAAATTCAGTCTTAAAGCTCCTCCATCTACACTCCCGTCACGTCACTTTTCTCCAATATGATGTCTCTGATGCTGAATGAGGTTGGCAGTCTGGTTGAAAGCTTTCCCACATTTATTACATTTATAGGGTTTCTCTCCTGTGTGAATCCTCTGATGTTGAGTAAGGTGTGTGCTTCGGATAAAGGCTTTCTCACAGATCTTACATTTGTAGGGTTTTTCTCTAGTGTGAATTCTCTTGTGTTGAGTGAGGGCTGAGTGGTCACTGAAGGCTTTCTCACATATGTTACACGTGTAGGGCTTTTCCCCAGTGTGAATTCTCTGATGCTGGGCTAGGGCTGACTGGTCCCTGAAGGCTTTCTCACACAAACCACATCTGTATGGTTTCTCTCCAGTGTGAATTTTCCGATGTCGAGCAAACGATGAATTATCCCTGAAAGCTTTCCCACATTCGCTACACTTATAAGGTTTCTCTCCAGTATGAATTCTCTGATGTTCAGTAAGGGAAGAGTTCACCCTGAAGGCCTTTCCACATTCATTACATTCAAAGGGCTTCTCTCCAGTGTGAATTCTCTGATGCTGAAGAAAACTGGTACTCTGATTGAAGGCTTTCCCACATTCATTACATTTATAGGGTTTCTCTCCACTATGAATATTCTGGTGTTTGGTAAGATGTGCCCTGCACACAAAGGCTTTGTCACATATGTTGCATTTAAAAGGTTTCTCTCCAGTATGTATTCTGTGATGGTGGGCAAGGTGGATATTTCGGATAAAAGCTTTTCCACATAAGTTGCATTCGAAAGGTTTCTCTCCAGTATGAATTTTCTGGTGATATGTAAGTGAGGAGCTCACTGAGAAGGCCTTTCCACATTCCTTACATTCATATGGTTTCTCACCAGTGTGAATTCTTTGGTGATGGATAAGGTGTGTACTCTGGTGAAAGGCTTTCCCACATTCTCTACATTCATATCGTTTCTCTTTAATAAGAGTTTTCTGATTTGCATTAAGTTTATTAGTATGAGTTTTCTGATGTTTATTAAGGACTGAACTCTTAGTGAAAACTTTTCCACACTCACTACACTCAAAGGCTTTTTTGCTAGACTGTAATCCCTGACTTTGAACAAAAGATGAGCTCACGGTGCAGCACTTCCCAGGTTCATCACATTCCTGGTCACTAACCACAGACAAGGTTTTCTGGTGAGCGAGTACCGCTTGCTGCAACTTCATCTCCTGGCCTCTATGCTGACGTTCCAATAGGCTGTCACATTTCCAGTGACCATCTCTAGTGAGTCTCTCCTTTATCACCCACCGATCCAATCCTTCTTCAGGAATATCTGCCTTGAGAGTAGATTTCCTACCTACAGGCATAGTGATCCAGTCTGAAAGACAGCAAAAAGAAAAACGTCTGTTTTATCCTAGTAAAACTTGTAGTTGGGATAAGAAGGTGAGCCTATTTATAATGGTAACAAATTGGTTTTAGTTTTGAAGATTTCTTGCAGTGAAGATAAGAAAGGAAAAGGGAGGAGATTCACAGAGGACACAGCAGGAGGGGTGACCTAATGGATAATGGATAAGGCAGAAGAGCCTGAGTGCAGGTCACAGGCCTGGGTTGGGATGGTGGGTACAACACTTATTTTCTTTGTGATTACAGAGAAGTTCCCTGACTTTCTAAGCCTCAAAAAAACCTATACAGACAAAACCATACCAACAGATAAGAAAAAAAATGTACCTTGTCTATTTTAGTGATAGCCCAGATGTGGCCTGAAGAAACCATTTAAACTAGAGGTCAACACTTGGTAGAAAAAAAATTCAGCTCCAGAGTAACTACTAAAATGAACATTTTGTATTTTATACTCATTTTAGCATTCAGATGGATATTAAAAATTTAGGCTACTATAAAGGCTGTGTGAAATACTCATATCTACCAATCATATTGGGACCTCCTGCTATCAGTGAGCAAGCAATATTTTCAAACCTATATGAATACTGTGACATCCATTTGAGGAAAATGTACCATGAGGACGTATGTGTGAGCACAGGAAATTGAGACAAAGCAGCAAACCTGCCAGGACACACCAGCATGTCCAGGAAGGAGAGGCCCTGCACCGAGGAAAGGAGTCTACTAGTCACTAGAAGTGGGATTCTGCTACTGGGATGGGCACCATGGTCTATGAATTATCTGACAAAATGAGTCCTCTCCCAACACACAAATTCTATACTTATTCAACAACTGTCTCACTGGGGTTCATGGGTACCTTGATATTAACAAGCAGAGTTCTGAATTGCACTTTACTTTTCCGTATATATTTGTGAATATCTGCCTTTTATGTTAAGTCTATTTAAGACTTTGTACTAGGAAATGCAATGATGAGGACTAGAGACTAAACACAGATGATGCAGAGGTTCCCGGGAAATCCTATTAAGAACAGCCTCCCTTGTCACTTTTTTTTGGTACTTACTCCAGAAAAATCTACAAAGAGCTACAATCAAAAAATAATCTACTTTATATATCTGGAAAAGAAAGATAAAGAGGTGCCTTTCAAGGCTGAAATTCTGGTCAGCTCAGAGTAACGCATCTGTGCTCAGCAGAAAGAAGGGTTGGGTATGCCGGTACTGCCCAAACTGAAGACCTTGGGGCTGGCTCTCACTTCTGGACCTGACAGAGCAGCCTGTAGCAGACCAGCATTCCTGCAGAAAACAATAGGAAAATCTGAATTAAAAATATATTCTGTCTAAAGGCATCAGAAGTTACTTGAGGCAAACTGGACAGTCTAATATTTGGAAGAGAAGGGAAATAGAGAGGTGATCCCAACACTTAGTGGTTTTTTCCTCATAGAACTTGCTGAATTCTTATGCTACTCAGGGCAAGAGCCTAAGCTAAGCAGAAATTCAGAACTTTCTATAGTCTTATGGTACTGTAAAGTCAAAAACTGGAGTTTAGGACCCTCCAAAGAAGGCAGAGTGGTGGTTGCAGCAAACGTGAAGCTCTCCACTGGGCCTCCTGGAGGGCTACAACCTAGCAGTAAGGGCAAACAAGAGATGGGCAAAGCTTTACAAACATTGCACCCCATCTCTAGCCAACAAGTCCTGGCTGGATGAGAGGGGCCTGCTTGCACTCCCGCTGCCTGTCAGAGGAGAAAGCCAGTCTCCTCTGGAGGAATACAACAGCATCCAGAGCCTCTTCACTCCTTCACACATAAGGTCACACATAACGGATTCAATCAAAAAGTACCAGGAGTACTAAGAAACTGAATCAAGAGAAAAACAGACAATAGACAAAGACCCACAGAACTCAGACACCCAAGTTATCAGATATGCATTTTACAATGTGTAATTAATATGGTCAATAAAACAGATAAGAAGGAGAATTTCAACAGAGGATTGGAACCAAAGAATCAAATGAAAATTCTAGAACTGAAAAATATAATAATTGAAATTAAGAACTCAATAGATAGATTTAACAGTATATTGGACACAGTAGAAAAGAAGAATAGTGAATAGAAAAACACATAAGCAGAAAACATCCATGGTAAAACCTGGAGGAAAAAAATTTAAAAAGAGACATATAAGTCATAGTGAAAAGGCTGAACATATGTGTGACTCGAGTTCTGGAATGGGCGGAGGAAAAGAATGGGGCAAAAACATTATTTGAAAAAATAAAGGCTGAAAAATGAATTGGAGAAGGAATACAGACTTTAAGCAGAATAAATACAAAGAAAATCCACCTAGGCACGTCATAGTAAACCACTGAAAACCAAGACCATCTTGAAAGGTGCTTGAGAGAAAAAACACATTACCTTCAAAGGAGGAAAAATAAGACAGACAGCTGTCTTTTCAACAAAAACAATGGAAGGCAGAAGACAATGAAGCAACATCTGAAGTGTTGAAAGAATGTAACTGCCAAACTAGGATTCAATAGAAAGAAAATATTCCTAAAAAGTGACTATGAAATAGATACTTCCATACAAATAAAAAGAGACTGTGTCATCAGAAAACCCACGTTAAAAGAACACAGTGACAACAGGGCCAGGCACATGGCCGAGTGGTTCAAGGCCTGCACACTCCACTTCGGCAGCCTAGGCTCATGGGTTCGGATCCTGAGGCCAGACATACTCCACTCATCAGCCATGCTGTGGCGGTGTCCCACACACGAAAAATAGAGGAAGACTGGCAAGATGTTAGCTCAGGGCTAGTTTTCCTCAGGCAAAAAAAAAAAAGAAAGAAAAAAAGGAAAAGAAATGATGATCAGAGTGCTCCAGGCAGAAACGAGGAAATGTAAGAAGGAATGAAAACCAATGGAGAGAGTGAATACATGGATAAATAAAAATATTACTGCACAAGACAATAATCATAATGTCTTCAGAGGTTGAAAACATATACATAACTAAAATACATAGCAAAAATAACACAAAAGGTTGAAGGAAGAAAACAGAATTAATGTTCTAAGGTACTAGCATTGTCTGAATTATTAAAAGTAAAAATTAATTTTGGATAATAATAAGCTGGTTTTACTTATTAGACTTATCAATAAAAGACTAGTTAAAGAAAGTACATAAACTAGCTAATACAGGGTGAAAATGGAACACTAAAAATAGTTAACTTAAGACAAGGCAAGATAGAAGACAAAAAAGTATTTAAAGCAGGAGAGTAAAATAGAAAATAAATAATACGATAGTAGACGTCCAATCTCATATATATTAGTAACTGGTCTAAATTATCTTATTAAAAAACTTAGATTGTGAGACTGGAAAAAAAATAAAATAAAACTAAATGCCACTTAGAAGAGAAATACCAAAAATACAGACACAGAAATATAGAAAAGACAAGAATGGGAAAGGATTTACCATGTAAGCATTAACCACAAGAAAGCTGGTGTACATAAACTAATATCAGACAAATCTCACAATATTAGAGAAAACAGACTTTAAGATATTCCATATTGACAAAAGGGTAAATTCTCCAGGAACATATAACAAGTCTATATTTGAATATAACGCAACTTCAAAATGTATAAAGTAAAAATTGAGAGAATGAAAAGGAAAAATAGAGAAATCTTAACAATTACAGTGAGATATGTTTACATACCATTCTCAATAATTCAGTAATCAAACTATTGAGAATAGGGATGATCTCAACAACCAGAAAAACAAACTTGACTTAATTGATATACTTAGAACACTATACTGAACAATGACAGAACACCCATTATATGTAAGAGTATACAGGACACTTACCAAGACTGACCACATACTGGGCCATGAAGCAGCATGAACACATTTCACAGGACTGAGACCATTCAGAATATGTTCTCTGAACTCAGTGGAATAAAGCCAGAAATGAATACCAAAATACCAAAAAGATAATTAGAAAATCAACAGACGTTTCTAAATTAAGCAATACATTTCTAAATAATTGATAGATCAAAAAAGAAATCACAACAAGAATTAGGAAATATTTTAAACTAAATGATAATAAAAACATGAACTGGAACTTATAGGATGCAGCTACAACCACCGTCAGGAGGAAATGTGCAATGATCTATTTGTCTATATTGATGATCAATCTCAAGAAATTAGAAAAATAGCAAAGTGCACCCAAAGGAGAAGGAAAGAAATAATAAAGATAACAGAAATTAGTAACTTAATAAAAAATTGACAGACCTCTAGAAAGACTAATCAGAAAAAGAGAAGGCACATACTACCAAGATCAAGAACGATAAAGGTGACATCAGGACAGATTCCACAGAGATTGATAAGATAATAAGATAATGAGGAAACTTTATACCAATAAATTAGACAGTTTAGACAAAGACTCCAATTCCTAGAAAGGTACAATGTACCAAAACAGACAAAAGAAGAAACAGAAAATCTGAATGGTCCTATATCTAATAAATAAATTGAATCTTCAAATTAAAACCTTCTCACAAAGAAATTTCCTTGCAGAGATGGCTTCACCAGTGAATTCTTCTGAACATTTAAAGAAGAAATAACACAATCTTACACAAGCTCTTCCAGAGCACTGAAAAGAAGGAAGACTTCCACTGGTTTTATGAAGTGAGCACAACCTACCAGAATCTGAGAAGGACAATTAAAAAAATATAAAATCCCAGACCATTCTGTCTCATGAACACAGATAAAATTCCCAAACAAAATATTAGCAAAAGGTATGACATAAAAAAGGATAATATGTTACAAATAAGTTGAAATTCAAGGATGTTCTCATACTTCAATCACTCAACGTCATTCGCCACATTAGCAAAATAAAGGGAAAAATCACATCATTATTTCAATAGATGCTGAAAAGGCATCTGACCCAATTCAACACTCAGTTATGATAAAAATTCACAGCCGAGTAGGAGTAGAACAGAATTTCCTTAATC